TGTAAAATTTTAATTTGTTTTCAATTTCATTCTTCAATTATGATATGTGATATGTTATGTTTTCAATTTAGTCCTTATTCTTTTGGTTGTTGTTTTTTAGTCCTTTTGTCAGATTATTTTGTTCTTTTCAATTTCACTCTTCAAACAAAAAATTAATTTTTCTTTGGTGATATGTTGTGTTTTCCAATTTAATCCTTATTATTTTGATTATTTCAAATTAATTTTTCTTTTCAATCCCATTCTTCAATAAAATTTAGTAGTTGTCCTCTAATTTATTTTCTTATTTCAATTTTGATCTTTATTCTTTTAATTGTTATTTTTGGTTTTGGATCATTTTATGAAATTGAATTTTATTTCCAATCTCATCCTTCATGTTTTTTTCTTTTCAAATTGGGGTTTCTAGTCTAATGATTTAGGTCACAAGTTTAAAAAATTAATGCAAATTGACATTGTTTTTTTTTTTTTTTGCTTTTGAATAAATCTTGTCAATTTCAATATTTCATTCTTTTTCATCACTTTGTTTTATATATTTTTCAAGTTAAGTTATAAATAATTAAAAAGAAAATGAAAAGGAAGAATAAAAAATAGAACTAAGAAAAAAAGTAAAAGTAATAAAAAGAGGGAAAATATAGTTAAAAATTAGGATAAATAATTGAGTTTAAAAAGCCAAGGATTAAGTTGAAGGAGGTGAAAAAATCAGGAATAATTTGGGATGCTATGGAGGATATAATTAAAAAAAAAGGGGTTTGGTTTGGCTAAAATCAAATGAATTGAGGGACCAAGGATGAATTTATAATAAATGGTCAAACTCAAGGGTTCAAGTAATTTAACCAGGGATGAAATTGAAAGAAAAATGAAATTTATGGAAAAATTAACAAAAAATAAACAGTTGTAGAAACCAAAGATTAAATTGAAAAAAGTGAAAAAATGAAAGGGTTCATTTAAATCATTTAGAGTGAAATTGAAAAGAAAAATAAAAAGTTAAAACCCTAATTGAATGAAAATTAAAAAATCAAAAGAGGAAGGACTACAATTTTTTTAAAAACGTACAGAAATCAAAGGCCAATTTGAATTCCCAACCTTTCCCTATAACGATGTTGTTTTTTATAAAATAAAATAAAATTAAAAAAATAAGAAGTAAACATCACCCTTTTTTTAAATTTCTTTCCCAGATGAAATTCCATAATTTTAGCCTTAAAAATCCAACAATAATTGATTTATTATCAAAATTCAATCCTATAATTTAATCACGGGATTTTGGCCCAAAAAATCTAGCAATCTTTGATTGATTCTCAGAATTAATTAAATCCCATGATTCTAGCCATTCTCACACCTATAAATAGCATAGATTAGGAGACAAGAAAAGAAGCATAAAGTTTTCTGTAGGTATACGAGAAGCTTTCATTACCAAAGAAACCAACAGTCTCTAGTGATCTCTAAAAAAGGTATGTTCCTTTGATTCTATCACTTACATGAATGACTTTTCTTTTATTTGATTTTGTTTGATTCCTGTAGTTATATATAGAGTTGTATTAAATCTTACTTCCAGTGGCAGATTTATTATCTAAATTATAAGTCTCTTGGGGTTCCAAGTCGCGTGCAATGATTTGTAGATATGAAATGCATGCATGAATTATTAAGTAGATGAGAGTTCAAACCTTTAAAATTGTGTTTTCAATAAATAAATTCAAGGCTTTTTTATTTAGAAATATAAGAATTACAACTTATAATATTTCATTAATGAGATCCCAATCTAAAGGATCAAAGTCGAATATTATTTTAATTATTTTATGTATTTTTTAATTTTAGAAACTAATATAGACTTAATAGTTTTTATAAAAAAATAAAAAAATAAATTTTAAATTATATTGGCAAAGCTTTCATCAAGATTTCATTAAAATCAATAATATTTTAATTTAATAAATCAACGAGTTTCTTATTTATAAGAATACATGTTCAAAAACCCATAAAAAAACTAAATCAGTAAATCTTCTAGTTCTATAGGGATTGATATTGAATTTTTCACTAAAAATAAAATAAAATAAATTGTAAATAAAATTTGAAAATAATTAGAATATTTCATTAAAATTAAGAAGATAAATAAATTTATGAACAACACACATAATAACTTTTTATTTAAAAAGATATAATAAGGATGACGTCATTTTTTAAAGTATAACTAATTTCTTAGCTGAATTTTTATAATCAGTTTTAATATCTAAGATTCTTAATTTCTTCTTATTATCGAGTGTGAATCTAAATTATATATATATATATATATATATATATATATATATATATTCCTGTTATATTTCAAAAAATCATATTTATGTTCAACTGTGACAAAATGGCATGAGAAATTTTTTATAAGAATGCTTTAAAGTAGAAATAGGTTAAAAATGAGTTTTTGGTTGCAAATAAATTCATCCCTATTTCTCAACCCACTTTCTGGTGGGTGAAAAATTGAGAAGTAGAGAGCACATCATTAGTTCAAGAGTTAAAGCCCAGATCTTTAGTCCTAGTGATTGGCCTATTCTATTTTTTTTTCCTTCAATTTTTGTTTAGATTTTCATTGAAATGCATTAAGAATAATAATAAAAAAAACCTTAACACGATATTGACATCACTTTTCAATTATGCCTTGGTTCTTAAATTTATAGGGGTGTTGACAATTTTTTTTCGAATTGTTGTGTACCTTATATGTAAAAATAAGAGATAAAAGATTGTTCATAGATATTTAATTGAAAAAAATATTGCTTTTCTTTAACTTTTTTTAATATATATTTTGATATCATTTTATCACATTTATTTTTTTTTCCTTCAAAAACACATTGCATATTGAGACATTGCCTTAATTTTATTTTTAAACTTGTTTTAGGTCATAATCAGTTTGTAATTTAAAAAACATTTTTTTAAACAAATAATTAAGAGATAATTCAATAAAAAAATAAATTTTAGGTTAAAAAATACATTTTTATTTTATTAATTATTTTTCCTATGAATTTTTATTTTTATAATTAATAGGTTAAATAGAAAAATAGATTTCAAGAAAAGAAAATTATTAAATTTTGTTATTATTATGGTTTAAATCACAAGTTGAACAAGGAAACTCTATTATCTTGTTTAATTTAATATATTATTATTTTAATATTTATTTATAAAGGAAAGTATTGAATTGAGAATATTTTAATTTTTTTTTCTCTTAAAAAAATCAAATGAGATTTTAATTGTATCAGCAAAGTTGAGATTTGATTGCACCATGTTGCGTCGATTCTTACCCAGTTTGCTCTCAAACCGAGCTTATGTACGATGAGGAGTCATTATGTTGACTTGAAAACCTCTGCGGCAGCTGGCGAGCTGAAGAGTTTTGTTGAAAACCGGAGGCAAATATGTATCGTTAATTAAAGCTCCAGCACCCTAAAGTACAATGGGGAATTCAATACAATTACTAAAGTAGACATAAAGCCTAACAAGACTGATAGAAGGTCCGAGAAAAAGCACGAGGCAGGCCTGTCCATTTCAAGAAGATACGCTCGAGGTCCAAGTACAATATAACATCGCCGCATGGTTTAGTGTGGGTTTGATTTTACGAAAAATATTTTTTAATTAAAAATATATATTTTTTAAAATTAATTTTTTACATCAATAAATAAATATTAATTTAATTTTTTAAATGAAAAAAAATTTAAAAACAAGTTGAATTGGATCATCAAATGGAATATATAAATCTTCATCCAATGATATGAAAGGCGATGAATGCCCATATATTATATTTTGTATTATACATATTCAAAATAGAATCTAAAATAGCTATCCCAAATTCAAATTTGGACATATAAATTTTTTTAATATGGCCAATTTTGCATTAAGCAAACCAATAACCATACCTAATTTCAAACCTAACTTTTTACTTTTAAATTTTACCCAAATCCAAATTAAAACAAACCAAATACTATTTGGTCTAAAATTTTCCTACTCATTCAAGTTGATATTCTTTTTAAATTTATGTGAAATTGTCATCCCTACTCAACTGGGTGCTTGGTTTTCTACATAGGTGTCCAGTTTTTTCTTTTTTGACAAACGGGGCCTCGACAAGCTCTAGAGCCCCTTACACAAGTATGGTCGCAATACCATCGGTCACTAACAAGGTACGGAAGGGTTAAAAACAAAACAGTCTCATTTCCTAATTGTTAGCAAAAGCATCAGCAGATGCATTAGCCTCTCGGTACACAAGCCTTATGTCCACCATTTGAGAGGCAGATGTGCAGAAATGAGGCAACTCTCCGGTCTCCGTCATTTGAAAGGCTCCTTTATATAGGTGTCACTACACCACCTCTTCATTTGAGTTGTGCTTCCCCCTCCTAAAAGGCTACACATTAAAAACAGAAGTGTTTACTGAAGTCTTTTCTTTTTTAAAAAAACGAAGGTGGCATGAAATCTCACAAAAATAGGTAAAAATTAAAAAAAAAAAAGTGTTCGATTTAGACGCACCGTGTAACAAAGTCGAGCTGTAGATGGTTTGGCAACCTCAACTAGCACGAATCCAAAACAAACCAATAGGACGCCTCCTCTTGGGGATTTCTCTCGAATGTCAAGGCCGTCCTGATAGAATGATTTCACTCAAGTCGGAGCCCCACAGACAATTAAAGGAGAGATAATTGAAACTTGGAAAAACTGCCACTTCAACTCTCTCGAATGTTCTCCCACACGCCACACCCTCCAGTGAAGTGGAGGAAATACGAAAACCACTTTCTAGAAGGTAACGAAAAAACAAAACTTCGGTTTTTTCTCTGTAATCATAGTCTCTCAAATATGGATTGGTTCAATTAAGGTTTTAAAAAAAATATTTTTATTTCACATTATTTTTTTATGTTTATATATTATTTTAATGAATTAATTTTAAAAAATAAAAAATATATTGTTTTAATATTTTTAAATAAAAAACTTTAAAAAACATAAGAAAATCAGAAGGAATTATCTTGAGCTAGACGCCTCAACAAATCACCTCAAACAAATAATATAAAAAAAAAAAAGAGAGAGAGAAGAACACACAATACAATGAACATCCAAGTCCCAACCACCTATCCAAAACTCGACATATCTTTACTCTTCTGGTCAGTTACTCCATTATATCCCAACCACTTCTGATGACAAAAAACTTGAACATGTTCACAGTAAGCTAGCCCACCAACTGCATTATTAAATCATCTCAACCACCTCCTAAGATCGTTAGTTGAAGAAGGGGAAAGCTCACCACCAAAGCTATCCGTACAGCAAGAAGAATAGTTAGACTGTTGTTCTAGTCCACCTAAACGTGAACCGCACACGCTCTTGAAGCTTGGACTCCTTAGACCATGCCCGTAACCAGCACCGCCGTAAACTATACCGACATCACAAGGGTCGGGGGCTGGATACGAAAGCCGTTTTCTTGCAGACCCAGCCCGGTCTCGTTCTGGTGTTGATGGTCTTTGCCTTGGTGCACTCTGTGATCTCAATCTAGCCTTGGCAGACTCGGTTGCAGCCATGTAATTTGGCAATGTAGCATTACCATTACTACTAACACTAGCACCACCCCTGATTCCATGTTGATTCAAACTTCCATTGTAAAAATAATTGGACCTTAAACTTGGTGTTTGAGAGGAATTACAACTTCTATCTTCTCTTGCACATCGTGGACTAGCTGAACGAACCTGAAGAGGCCTAGTTTTTGATGGGGAGGGTGTGATAGGAGAGTGGTGGAGTGGAACAGTTTGATGAGCTCTATGGAGTGGAGAAGGAGCAGAGTGTGTCGCACCATTGTTTGATGAATTGGATCTCTGGTGTTGGTGATGTTGGTTTTGGTTTGTTCTTCTAAAATTAGGAACTAAATATGAATAAGGTTGCGAGGTGTCAATTTCTACAGTTTTGATGGGGTCTCTTTGATCAGTTGAAGCTCTTGCTCTGCTTCTATTATCCCATGGCTTTGCAGGCATCCATTGATCAAGCCATTGTGGTCTTTCTTTGAGCTCATCTTCATTGCCATTTGATGGGTTCCTGCCATTTCTCCATATCTTGGACATGGGTTTGAAAAAATTGAACCAATTAGCCATGAGCTATACTCCTAACAATTCAGAAAACAGGGGCAGAGAAAAGTGCAAGAAATGAACCTGCTGAGAGAAAGCTTGAGATAAGGTCTTTTCACGCTTGAACGCAGCTTCTTTCCTGCGTTGCAACATGGCCTTGACTTCCTCAATTGTGCGTGGCCGATCATCCCAATCATCTGCAATGCTACTGCTTTCTCTTGACTGTCAAAATTTGATTCAACGCTGAACTACATTAGACTCTTATAGCTTTAAAGTACAAAATCATAAGGTCATTAATCAGTAGAAAAACCGTTGTTATTGCTTTGAATTAAGTTCAAGCAAAGTATGACCAGATTGAAATGCTAACCAATGCTTAGAAAGAACAGAACAAATTACCATGGATTTTCTATCTGAAATGTCTTGAAGATATCGCGATTCAAGCACGCTATTGGTGTCACTAAATGCAGATTTCCTGCTGCCTTCATGTGAAAGTCTCACGCGTTGATCAAGCACCCGAGCCTGCACTCGAGCCAGAGCTTGCATGCATCGCAGGGTCATCTTGGCCCGTTTTCTCACTTTGTGTCCCCTTACTAAAGCTTGCAACTTCACCAGCCCTTTAAGTGCACGAAGAGCCCGCCTTGCCTACACACACCAGAAATTAACACACACCTTCTCATCTAATCACTAAAAATATTGATAATTCATGAATGACTTTTTCACTATTTGCAATGCAAGAGAGGAAAAGAAAAAAAGCATCTATTCCTATGTATGTGCAATATTCGGTTATTACCAGGTATCCTCTAAAAGCTGTTTGAATGACAATGGCAGCATAATGTTCTCTAGGATGATATGAAGGCCTAGTGAGCCAAGCCACCTCCGCCGCCTGGGCAGTGGCTACAGCAGCTTCAGTAGCAACTGCTACTGGAATTGCATGCCTTTGCTCAGCTGCCGACACATGGTCTGTTGGAGCACCCCCACCACCACCTGGGGATGCCCTAACATTTCCTGCCTTTGACAGGTTCTCTTGTGTCGCTGTTTCTTGATTCGGAGGTTTCCTAAATAACCATCTTCTCTTCCCTCTCTTCTGCAAGAAGAAAAGCCCACAAAAGGGCCAGCCATTACAACTCAAAAACAGATCGAGAAACAACGAGACATTAGTTTTCAATGGATAAAATTAAAAGAGGCGAAAAGAAAGGACCTTTTCTTCATCTTCGTCTTGTTCATGGCCAGCTCCAGAAGCCCTCTTGTCACTTTCTTTAGTTGGAGATCTGAACGCCCTTTTCACAGCAGTCAACCATGAACTACCTCCCTTCTTCCCCATCAGATTAAAGATAAGTAGGTTAAGTTATACCAAGCTGCTGCATTTACACCAACCTCTTCTAGAAAAACATTATATCATAAAGAGCCAGAAAATTGAGGTAAGGATGATGGGGTCTTTGCTTGCCTGATGCTAGCTTAGCATGTGTGTCGTCTTTCTGAGGGAAGTTGCTGGGCTGTGAGAATAATAAATTAACATCGATATAGAATGTAACGTGTGTACGTATTTATTAATTTGAACGTTTATATATATATATATATATATATATATATATTTTCATGTGAGGTTAAAATTAAGTTGGTGTATTTTTGTGGCATGAAAATGGTGGAGACAGTAACGGTTGTGTCAGTGTGTCCGTCAACGTTAAATTGTTCCATCCATGGACTGATTCAGACACAAACACAAATATAATTAAGTATCTAAGAGAACGTGGTGGTCAGGAACAGAGTGTTATCGAGAAGAACGTTGAAAGTACAGTGAGGGAGGGAGTGCAAGTTGAGGTGAGAGGGAGGGTGAATTGCATAGGGCACCAAAAACAGCTTTAATCGGGGGAACAAAGGTTCTTTCTTTTTCAATTTAAGTTTTTTTGAGTTTCACACACTTCCTATTTAAAAAAGAAAGGATAAAGTGACCTCGCATGGCATCACGTGAAAGCAGCAGCTGGTGAAAGATTATCAGATAGTCCAGGGACCACAGTTCAGTCAATAGGCAGGTGTTTTGGTTAGCTCACGGTTTGGACAACCTTTCACTAAAATAAATGGTGATGACGCCCTCCCTGGAGGTTATTCTGCGGCTGCTGCTGCTGCTTCTTCATTTTTTTCCTCTTTTAATTTCGTTGTTTGTAATTGTTCTTGCTGTTACAAGGAAGCATTTCTTTTCTTTTTCACAACTCTATGAACTGGGACTTAAGAATGGCTTTCGATTGTATCATGACTGGTCAAGACTAGATTTGATTCCTCGGCCTCCAAATTATTGTCAGAGTTCAAGATTTTTATGTCCTTAGTGTTGGGTGAATCAATTACAAGCAGTGAATTACCCCCACTTATCGCTCAACATTAAAATACATTATATTGTCATTTCCAAAAATCATAACATATTGCTGGAACGTTATAGAACCAAAGGGTAAAACTATTTTATCCACTAAAATCTTTGGTGCTCGGGTTACCTAAACCTAAAATCTTCACCAATCCTGCTCAGTGCCTTATAGCTCAGAAGCTTTCAGATCAGGGTTGGAAATGCGCCCCTTCCCATGTTATTTCCATTTGATTTCCATATGATCAGAGGAAGACAGGGAAAGATCAACGTGTTCACAATTTATCCATAAAGTTATTGCAAGGGCCAGGCTTATGCGCTAGCCACAAAAAAGGAGGGGCTGGATCCCAGCTCCTTGTTTTATTGGGCTCGAGGACTGAGCCAATTCCATATCACCTTGACCTCCAAAAAAGCTTCGAACGCCTCCCAATCCTGAGAAGATGTAATTCGACAGGGCCACGTGCAAGCACAATGAAACAACGCGAATTTAGGCACCGTTTATTCTTAAAAGAAAAAAAAATTAAAACCATTTTTCTCACTTTTCAATGTTTAATAATACAAAAAACAGTTGAAAATGGAAAAAAATGCTTTACGGTGAAAGAAAAAACTTAGTTAAATGTTTTTTTCATCTTTTTTTTTCAAAAAAAACTTGCCAAAAATTAAAAAAAAATAAAATGACTAAATATTTTTTTTATTGAGATAGTTTATAATATTATATTTTTTTAATTTTATTTTTCTTCAACTTTTTATTTGTTATATTTTATTTATATTCTTTTAATTGTTATTTGTGTTATTTGAAATAATTATTTTTTTTAATTTTATCAACTTTTAATTTTTATGGTCAGATTTAACTTTTATTTTTTATTTGAAATAATTTATAAATTTAAATATATTTTTTAATTTCATTATTTTTTAATTTTTTTACTTATCAAATTTAGTTCTTGTTTTTGTAGTATACTTGAAAAAATATTAATAAGTTATTTTTTGTATTATTATTTACACTATTGACAAACATTAAAAATTATTTTTTATTTTTTTATAATAATTTCAAGCATTAAAAAAATCTATTTTTTTAAATTATATTTTTATAAAATAATTTTAAAAAATATTTTCGGATAAACACAGACAAACGGAACGTTACATCCACGTCCTTGTTTCTCTGGGCTCGTAGAAAATTCATATCTGCTGTTCTGAATAAGCTTTAACTGCTTCTCGCTAGAAAATGCGAGGGTGCTAACAGGCTACTGGAAGCACAAAAAACAAGAGGAGTTTGGATGCCACAACCCAGTTTCCTTGGATCCAACAAACGAAGCTTGGAAGGAAAAATGCTGGATTTTTAATTTGCCCAAGACCACAAAATCAACTCCCATGTCATGGTACCGCGGACAAAGTGCCCCCCCTCCGAAGTATGAACTTTACTCATCTGTCAACTTATAAATCAAAAGAGATAATAATTGCAATTTCCATAAAAATAATAATTCATTTTCTACTTTGAATGCTCGGAGAAAACCGACCATCAAAATGAGATCTCTTTTGCTACTGAATGCTACTAACAAATAAGTGCATCTTCATCCTTGGGGAAAACAGTTGAATCATAGGAAAAGTACCAGAAAACTCTGAGTTCAAGGTACAAGTGATGAAGCAAATCCCAGGATATTTCATTGATTCGTAGAAGCCACCCAGCTTCCTGGATTGAGCTCGGAGAAAACACTCCTGATATCCTCCAATACCTCTTCATCTGATCATGGGCATTAATCCAAGGAAATAGATAGACTCTGCAGATTATCCTTCAAAACATCAAAGACGAAATCAAGTTATAAGGAAATAAGTTTCAACAATCATCCGAATCTTGTTGACATTGTTGGGAAACTATGAACAAATAACCGGATATCAATTTACTCAGATCAATTCACAATTCACAAATTTTAATTTTTTTTTCTTTTTATACAATCAAAATCAAGATCAAACAATCAATAAATATAAAATAACAATCATATAAATCAATACCAAGATTTTTACGTGCAAAACCTGATACGAAAAAAACTACAGGACTGTAATCCACGTAAAAACTTCCACTATAAAAAAATAATGGATTCATAATTGTTCTTCCTTCAATTCAACTAAGGGCTACAACATACATATCATCAAGAACAATCTATTCCTGGAATATAACAAAATTAAAGAGAGAAATGTTTGAGAAAAGCTCACAACACTGACAGCCCTATTTTCTATCAGACCAACCAGCTTCCATATAAACAAGCTTCGATCTAACCATTCAGAATGAAGAGTAATGTATTTAAAAGTTGCTGTCAAAATCTTAGCCCGATCTAACAGTAAACGAGCTGGGAATCAAAGAATGAAGACAAAGAGTATAACTGCCTCTTCTTCCTCCATTTTTCTATTCTCTCTTCTATTTTCTCTCTTTTAAATATGTTATGAATAGTGAGCATTGCATTTTTAATTTCAAGAAACATTTATGCTGTTGTCTATTGACAATTAACGTGGTGATCTCACTATCACATGGTGTGGAATCAGACACAATAAATCTCCCCCTCGCGCACCATGTGAGGAATTCGTCATACTGGCAATCAACATGTAAGATTCAATTTAGGAGGCTCTACCAAGCCTGCTTCCCTTCTGCAAAATTCAAACTTCTCTCTCGGTAGAGGTTTGGTCACCATGTCTGACACATTGTTACCGGTATGGATTTTCTCAACAACAAATGACTTCATCTCCATGACATCTCGAATCTATTGATATCTAACCTCAATGTGCTTTGATCGAGAGTGAAAAATAAGATACTTACTGAGATGGATTGCACTTTGACTATCATAGTACAACACAAAGTTCTCTTGAACTAGGCTAAGTTCATGTAAGAACTTTTTTCATCCATAACAACTTTTTGCCCCCTTTAGTAAGAGTAATGTATTCAGCCTCTGTAGTGGATAATGCAACATATTTTTGCAACTTTGATTGCCATAAGACTGCTCCCCCTACAAACTTCATCAAGTATCCTAATATGGACTTTCTAGAATCAACATCACCAGCTATATCTGCATCTGTGTATCCATCCAACACAGGTTTATTATTACCAAAACATAAACTGAAACTAGAAGTACCTTTGAGATACCTGAGTATCCATTTCATTGCTGACCAATGTTCTTTACCAGGATTGGAGAGGAACCGACTAACCACACCAAGATGAGCTATATCCGGCCTTGTGCAAACCATGACATACATCAAGCTACCAACTGTGGACGAATAAGGAACCTTTTCCATCTCATCTCTTTCTTTATTACTTGAAGGACACTGCTTAGAACTTAGTTTAAAGTGACCTGCAAGTGGAGAACAAACAGGTTTGGAGTTGTTCATGTTGAATCTTTCAAGTACCTTTTGAACATATCTCTCTTGAAATACCTAAAGTTTCTCCTTCTTCCTATCACGTGTGATCTTCATGCCAAGAATCTTTTTTGTTGTTTCTAAGTCTTTCATTGCAAAAGACTTGCTTAACTCTTTCTTTAAAATCTGAATCTCCTTAGCATCATAGCCAACAATCAACATATTATCCACATATAACAAGAGAATAATAAAGTTTTCATATGAAAATATTTTGATAAATATACAATTATCAGAAGTGGTCTTGTCATAACCATGATCCACCATGAAAGAATCAAACTTCTTGTACTATTTTCTTGGAGCTTGCTTTAACCTATATAGGCTCCTTTTCAACTTGCAAGCTAACTGCTCTTTGCCTTTTACTTCAAACTCTTCAGGTTGCTCTATGTAGATCTCTTTATCTAAATCACCATGGAGAAAGGCAGTTTTCACATTAAGTTGTTCAACTTCAAGATTCAAACTAGCAGTGAAACCAAGTGCAACTCGAATTGAAAACATCTTGACCATTGGTGAAAAGATTTCTTCAAAATCAACACCCTTTTTTTTTTACTGAAACCTTTCACAACCAATCTTGCTTTATACCTTGGCTGCGAGCAATGTTCATCAATTTTCAACCTAAACACCCATTTATTCTTGAGTGCTCTCTTACTTTTAGGAAGCTTCAGTAACTCAAAAGTATGGTTTTCATGTAAGGATTTCATCTCTTCTTGCATTGCTTTCAACTACTCACTTTTTTTCTCATGTGATATAGCTTCAGCAAAGCATTCTGGCTCTTCCCCATCAGTAACCAGCACATACTC